ATCAGTTTTTCGTCAGCAATGAATGTACAAATAGGACACAAAACGCTGAGAACTTTTCGGAAAACCTAATAATTGTAACGTGTGTGGAGATTACTTCTTCATTTGCTGTCGCATGGTGAAAACTTGCTTTATTTCCATTACTGAGGCGGAGGTGGTGTAGTGGCAAGTGGATCAATCAAGACAAGCAATCGCAACCATCGCGACGATCGCCGCTGCTGGAGTGTGGTGTAGTGACAAGTGGCGCGCTTACCACTCGCGCGGCGCCGGGTTCAAATCCCGGGTCGACTCCCGCCCAGGCCAACCAAGCCTTCTACCCTCCGGGGACGGTAAATTGGTACCAGATTCGTCTGGGAGGATAAAACACTGACTTGTACATCGGCTGGCCACCGCAAGTCATTGTATAGGCCACATCGCATTCAATAAGCCACTACGATTCTGAATGGAAGTAGAATGCGTGCCGCATCCCACAAAGGGATTGATCAACGGCGAAGACTTTATCCTTTATCCTTTTATCCATTACGTCGTGGAATAATACCACATGTACTTTGAACCACACGGTTTTCATTATCCTGGAGCACGCTGGAATAAACGGATACCCTCAAAATAAATGCTCTTTGGAGTAACCAGGAATGGAGAATCTGCCTGCTTCGCATCAAAGAACCAGGCAAATTAGTTAAGCAAAATTGTTTTGGGGACTCGTATGGGGCATTGCAAAGGAAAGGAAAAACTCTTAAGAGTCAAGGGCATGTGACCTTGTGTTTCTGAACCAGCGCCGCTCACTCACTGTACCACCGGCCGCTTGTCGCCGTCAGTTGAAGTCCCGATCTTTGTGCGCTTGTGCGAACACAGCGGAGAATGAATGGTCTGTGTCTCCCTCCAGAGTATCGCCCCGCGAACCGTTCATACTCCGCGACAGCAGCGGCGAGTCGCTATGGTTGCGAATGAGTATGCAGCGAAGCGCGCACTAACGCCTCTAGCTGTACCCAATCTTTCTGCGAAAAAATTCCACATATATGAATTTTTTCATGGTAGCTGGAAAGCTCAACGCACGATTTCTGTACTTCATGTAGTGGAACGTGGAATGAGGTGAACTGAATACCACTTATTCGCTTCTTTTTCAGATAGGCAAGCTTGAACATGCTTCTTTTCATTTCTTCTCTTCATCAACCCAACTTATGTGCTCTAGAAATCTCATTGGCTGGAGATTCCTAACGCCCAGAACACTTATTGTTTAGAGATGGAGATTGAACAATAAAGCAGAGAACTTGAAAGAAATTCACCTAGGAATTGAAGTTCTAATAAATTTGTGCGACGACGAAGAAGAGCTCTGCGAAGCTAGTAGAATAAAGAGAAAAGCGAAAAAAAACGAGCCTCAGATGTAGCTCTTACGTGCTCGCTCTACACAGAGTCGATGACGAATAATAGAAGAGGGATTCTTCACTTGAGCCGATTCCCTGCGGAAATGTAGAAAGCCGCTAATACGAAAGCAGTAACAAGGTGATTAAAGAGTTGCATAATTGGGATCTCCTCACTAGCACTCGGAGCAGTTGAAATAGCTAAGCTAAGGAACGCGTTTCCCACAAGTGATCGCCGCTGATGCTTCAATCACAACGGTCGCAGCTGCAAGCGCGGCGTGAGTACGCTGCTAAACACAACTTTCGGCCGTTGCGGATCCAGCTGCGATAGGTGGACTTGCATTTCCGTGCACCCTTTCTAGACCTCCTTCTGTCCCTCCCAACATGGCCATTCAGATCTCCAGCTATGGTGAGATAGTCCTCTTCCGGAACCGATCTTATGGCCTCGTCCAGGGTCAGGTAGAACTCATCCTTTTCGGTTTCGAGCAACCGGATTGTGGTGCGTACACGGTGATTATTGTCCACTATCCTCGTCTATTTTCACCCCAATATTCGATCACTGATCCTGTTCACAGAGGAGACGCAGTCCTTGAGGGATTCTGCCACCGCTATGGCACGCCATTCCGTTTGGTGTCTGCTCCATTGTAGAAGAGTTCAACCGCATCTCCGATCTCGCGGGGTTGCGCTCCTTTCCAGCGTGCCTCCCGAAGGCATACGACTCAGACGTTTCTTCGTTTCATCAGATCAACGACCTCCAGATTTCTCGGTCAGTGATCCCACCTTCAAAGTCCCAATTCAGTTAATTTTCTGGCCGAGGTTGTTCACCCCTCGATAGCCCTTGCATACTGACCACAGATCTCGGACGAGGGCTCTGCGCGCCACTTCCGGGTGAGGTCCAAGCATTCTATTGCAACTTGTCATGGTTGTTGTGAAGGGTTCCTCCATCAGCCGGCCTGTCAACCTGGGCCTGACGCTGGTATCGTCCCCATTTTTGCAATTTTTGCAAGCATGGTTTGTGACCTCGGCAGAGATCAAACTCGTGCCCTTCTTCAGAGTGGTTGCGAACATGATCCCGCACTATCAAATACTCTGCTATCCCTGCCTCAATAATAATGGGCGTGACTGTCGTGCTGGAAATTATTGAGACAACTTTTTTTTGTTCTTCTTCTACTCCTTAGCGCTCTCGCATGCATCAGCGTCTGCTATCTTGTCAGTAATCTCCAACTTCTCCTATCCAGGGCAGCATCTTCTGTGGCCTCCACATCCGATGAGGTCTTTTTCGAAAACGTTTCTTCACAATTTTTTTCTGCGGATCCTCTGGTGGCTTGCCATGTGCCTCGAAGTTCAGTGCCTTCCTTATCGGGTGTTCCTCGAGGCCTTCTCAGCACGTGTCCATACCACCTTAGTCGCTGCTCTCGTGCCTTCAGCTGGATCGGAGCTGTCTGTGTGACCGCTCTGACGTCCTCGTTTCTGACTCTATCTAGTCGTGTCCAGCCGCAGGCCCATGTCTCCTAACCACTCGGCTTTATCTGCCCACTTCCAGAACCTCTTCACGACGGCAGTCAAAGTCTAACAAACAGAATTTCCCTGTAACCGCCAACTTCAGAGTGAGTTTCCGCCTTCAGGCTTTCTTACGTAATCTCTACGATTTCGTCAATTGCGGTCTTTTTGACATGATCCCAGAAACCTCTTTCGATTTACTAGACGGGACCCCAGTGTTCTCTGGCGACATTTGTCAGGGGTCACAGCAGACTGGTTCTGAAAACAGTAGGCTAGTACGAACAATCATAAAACATGATTCGGGAAAGTTGGCATGCCATGTTTCGTCCAAATGCTTTAAAGAAAAGCTATCTCTCTAAGAAGGGCGAGCAAGCGCAATGACGTGCCTGAACAAAAAAGAAGCGCTTAGTAAAGGTGGAGAGCGATTAGCATAAAAGGAGTGTCAATCCGGCAGAAGTTATCACGAC